AGAGTTGTTTAATGGGAATAGAGTTTCAGTTTTACAAGACAGAAACTTTCCAGAGATTGGTCATACAATACCATGAATATCCTTAACACTACCGAATTGTATACTGAAAAACGGTTAAGATTACAAATTTTTTTGTGTATCTTACCACAATTAAAGATAATTTTTAAAAGACAGAGATATTCACTGTAAGTAGGTGAGTGCATTAGTTAAATCTTTCATTCCTAAGGAAAGAACAGCTTTCTTCCATTTGCCTGCCATGAGGTGAGGCAGATCCCAGTGATCCACCACTGCTCCTTGGGAAGGTAGATTACAGGTGATTGTAGATCCCTGGCAAGAGCGGACCATACCCAGGGAAGCCAAAGAACGAGAAAACTCTTGCCATCTGGAGCTGTCCCTGGTGTGGATTTATAGCTCTCCTGAAAGAAGAAGGAACAGAGGCTGTTGGAGGCATGGTCCTCTCTTAGATCCCATGTCCTAGTAGATCCCATGTCCTAGTGTGGTGGCAACTGTGATGGTGCTTTATAAATTCCTTTTTAAATGTCATTGTTAGACTTTGTGAAAATTCTCATGAGGCTTCAAAAAATATGTGAATGGATACAGAGGGCCACTTGCCTTCCCCCACTGCTCACTACCGTGGCTAGAACATGACTACAAACTGCCCACCCAGCCTCCCTTTCATCCTCTCCCCCAGGACACCTCCTTCTGGAGTGGAAAGTTTTCCCCAGCTCCTATGGGATCAAGGGCAGTGAAGGAGAAAGGTCTCTAAAGAGATGGACTTGGGTCACTCATGTCAGAGGGGCCGACATCTTTGTAAAAGGCCAATTGTTATTTATGTCTACTCATCTCCCTCTGGAATTACATCTATAACCAACAAAATCCAGGTCTTGCTCAGCTGGAAAAAACCAGCAGCACCCAGACATGACTGGTTTTTTTGTTTGTTTGTTTGAGATGTGAAGTTTTGCATGTAAATCAAATAGAGTTTGCCAGAAAATTCATTGCCTCAGCAAATATGGTCTGCTCCTTGGGTGTTGCCAAGTAGGAGAAAGATGGTTTGTCTGGAGAGACTCCAGAGAAAACTGTCAATACCATACAAATGAAAACTCAGAACTAAAGGATCAAGGTAAGGCGATGTGAAATCCCCCCTCCCATGCATTTTCTGTCTACCCACAACTCCCAACGTTTGCTTCATATTTCTGACAGACACTGGGACACCAAAGTGATGCATCTAGGCATTCTTACCCTGCTTCTTGGTGAGGCAATGGGGTGACCCCCTCAGCTGCAGAATAGTGAGAAGCTATGCCCAGGCCCGTGCAGCCAGAGGCACTCACGTCTCCTTGTTTCCTCGGAGGTCTCATGCTGAGCTGGTGAGGCCAAGAAAGTAGGGGCAGAACTGGGTGACCCTTGTGACACTCCCACTGGAGTCTCCTCCTGCTCCAGGCCTATTAACATCTCATGTGAGAGACCGGCCATGCCACAATGAAAGAGCACAGTGTGTTGCAGCAACCCTGAAACTGTTTGCCCAGAGAACCTTTCCTCACCCTTTCCCTGTACGGGTCCAGAAAAGAGTTAACATGGCAAACCTGAAACTGGCCTTGGAAAGCCTTACTTGCAAGATTGGCCCTTGCTTGGCATCTGAGAACTTGAACTTCAGAAGTCTTCCCACTGTTCCCTAACGGACAAGCTAACTATTCAAAAATTGTGGCTCATGCAGAACACCTGTTTCCTTCGGGGAGTCTGGAATTTGGGTTTGAGCTAGGCAGAGGGTACCTATGTGACCAGCCCCCCATAAACACTCTGAGCACTGAGCCTCTAGTGAGCATCCCTGGCAGACGACATTACATGAGTGTTGTCACAACTCATTGCCAGCGTGGTAAGCACAGCCCCTGTACCTTGATTAGGAGAGGACCCCTGGAGCCTTCTGCGTGGTTGTCTCCAGACTTTGCCCAAGCGATTTTTCTCCTCTGATTTGGATTTGCATCTTTTCGTCATGATTTATCGTGTAGTATATATAATATATGTACATTTATATCTGATCATAGCCATATGGGCAGCTGTCTGGTGAGTCCTCCTAATGAACCCATAGAACCTGGGAATAGTCTTGGGGCCCCCAACATGGGAGTGGTGGGACTAACTTTGCAGGCGGTGTTTTCCAGAGTCCTTTTTCAACTGATTCTAGTCGAGTTCAGCAAATGGCAGACAAAAGAGGGAGTGTGGGTGGGAAGAAAGGGACAAGCTAGGATAGTTCTTCCCTCCCTCTTGACCCCGGACAGTGTTTCTTGTAATGATTGGATCTCAAGCTCCCACCAGACAGGACCACAGGGTTCCAGTGCCTGACATTCCCTCAGCCCTCCCACTGTGATGACTCCAACTCCTCCCTGCTGTTGCTAACTGTGGAGTTGACTCACCTTCTCCTGTTTGGTTTCTTGTCTCTTCTATCACCTGTGTAACCAATCCTCTGCCTTAAATTCCTTCTTTCAGAAAGACTTAAAGTGGTCTTTGTTTTCCTGAATGAAAACACCACCTGTTACAGTTCTTAAATATTTACATGGTTCCACTTCCATGCCAGGCAAGAGCATTCAAAAACAAAAGAAACAACCCCATCCTTAAGGACCTCAGAGCCTATACACCTGTGGAAATTCCATCCCTAGCACAGTTCAAGATTCACTGTGTGATCAGAAACCTTTGCTCTGATGCCTCAGCCATATAGCCATGAGGAAATGCTCTGTAAATGAATGGGCTTTCACCATATACTAGGGCTTGGTGCCTGGGACACATTTTTATTGACTTTGTTAAGCACAGGGAAAGCCATTGTATTTATGATGCTATGAGGTTGGTGGTTTGGGGGAGTCAGAAAGCCAACCACTGTGTGTGCAAGTTCACACAGTCAATAATTAGTCTCAGGCCAAAAGTGACACTGTGGAGGTGACTGTGAGGGTGACAAGTCTGTCCTGAATGCACAACTCAACCCCAAGTCCTGGGGGTATCTGGCACCTGCGTAACCTCATCTGAAGGGTACAAGGGTGGCTGCTCATCCTCAAACCCCACACGGACAAGGGTATCTAGGAATTCTGGACACTCAGATTTAATGTTTGCCAGGAGAACTGCCAGAATATGACAGTTACAGATTGGGGCAGGGTTTTAAAAAATACTGAGGAGACCTGAAATTGTATAAATGCTGAGCAGAAACAGTACTAGACATCTTCTTTAGGGTCTTACTCTGGCACTCCACAAGGAATGCGGCAAAGATGGCCTTTGGATAGTTAAGTGGTCAGCAGCCTCTCTCCAGGGAACTCTGGCTTGAGTCCCTACCCTTTTGCAGCCAAGTAGGAGTACAGCCGAGGAAACAGAAAGTGATCATGCAATGTGAGAACTACAACAAGGCAAACCCGCTGCAAGGCATCTGGGGAGTCAGTGGAGGGTGACTGGGCAGGGAAGAAAGATGGAAGCCAGATGGCAAAGAAGCTTAGTGATGGAGAGGAGGAGAGGAGAAGCAAAAGTGGAAGGTGGGGAGGGGAGACTGGTGTTGGGGGAAGGTTTTCTAAAATACTAAAGACCTTAAATTGTATGAATGCTGAGGGAAAGAGCAGTGCTAGAGCCAGAGTCTAGCTTGTATAGGGCCTTGTCAGTTTAAGTTTGGAATTTATCCAAAAAGCAAAGAGAAGTAGTCATACAAGGGCTTTGTGCAAATAATTTGATTTCAGATTTGAGCCCTGCAATGCTCATTGTGACTGCATTGTAGAGAATGGACGGGAAAAGGATACATGGGTACATTCAAGGGCTGCTTAAGAGGTAGGATAGAAAATGTTTGCTCAAGGATTGGATTTGATGACTGAGGGAGAGAAACGAGGCTTCAGGAATGATGCTCATGTGACTGCTGTGCCACCTGCGTGCAAGATGGTGGGATTCGCTGAGGTAGAGAACTCCTGAGATGTGCCAGGTTTTCAGGGCAAGTGATATGTCTCAGGTTAGACATGATGAGCACGGGTTGTCACTGGGATATGACAAGTGAGGGTAGCCAGTAGGCGCTTAGATAAGGGAATCTACAGTTCTGGAAAAGATCCTGGCTAGAGACCCAGATTTGGGAGGTGTCGGGGTATTAATGAAACTTTAAAACAACGAGAGTTGCTGAGACAATCAAGGGATATTGCGCTGCATTGGAGGAAACCGCAGAGTGTTCAATGTCAAGGAGGCCCAGGAAAAATGCCTTCAAAGAGAGAGTTCACTGTTTCTAAAAGTTTAGGTGAATAAAAACTGAATCCTGTCTTTTGGCCTGAGCACAGGCCTTGGAGACCTTGACCTCTAGTTTTAGTAGAATGATGAGTTGAAATCCAGATGACAGAAACTTAGTGATGAAGGAGAGGAGTGACAGCAGTGTTGGGGACATGGGGAGTGGGGACATAGGTTGGGGGAGTATTTTTTTTTTAAATACTCAAGAGACCCGAAATGGCATGAATGCTGAGAAGAAACAGGGCTAGCAAGCAGGAGCTTGAAGCTACAAGAGGAAGAGTGGATAAGAGGCATAGCAAAGCCTTGGAGAACAAGGCAACATAGAAGCCTGGTTTGGAGACATGGGGAGGGGGAACCTTTCCAACTTTAGTAACAGGAAAAAAGAGGAAAAGATATATAAGATTGCAGGCAAGTTCATACATTTTGTAGCAGAAAATTGAGAGAATTTCTAACCAATGGGATCTTTTTTTTTTTTTCCTTCTCTGTAACATTAGAAGATGGAGTGGCAGGGTCAGAAATCTGAAGACAGTAAAGAAGGTTAGAAATAGCCAGGTGTGACTGGGTGCCAAGGCTCACACTTCTAATCCCAACACTTTGGGAAGCCAAGGAGGGCGGGTCATCCGAGGTCAGGCATTCGAGATCAGCCTGGCCAACACGATAAAGCCCCATCTCCACTAAAGACACAAAAATTAGCCAGGCATGGTGGTGTGCACCTGTAGTCCCAGCTACTTGGGAGGTGGAGGCAGGAGAATAGCTTGAATTTGGGAGGCGGAGGTTGCACTCCAGCCTGGGCAACAGAGTAAGACTCTGGGAAAGAAAGAAAAAGAAGAAAGAAAGAAAGAAAGAAAGAAAAGAAAGA